TTTTGAGTACTTTTGTATTGTCTTCAAACTTTGCCACATCGCAGTTTACCCCTTTTTCAAGACCATTTATTAATATGTTGAACAGCACTGGTCCCAGCACAGATCTTTGGGGGACCCTGCTATTTACCTCTCTCCACTGTGAAAACTGACCATTTATTCCTATCCTTTGTTTCATATCTTTTAACTGCTTACTAATCCATGAATGGACCTTCCCTCATATCCCATGACAGATTACTTTCCTTAAGAGCCTTTGGTGAGGAACCTTATCAAAGGCTTTCTGAAAGTCTAGGTATACTATATCCATGGGATCACGCTTTCCACATTTTTATTGACCCTCTCAAAGAATTCTAATAGATTAGTGAAGCATGATTTCCCTTTACAAAAGCCATGTTGACTTTTCCCCAATATATTGTGTTCATCTATGTGTCTGATAATTCTGTTCTTTGTTATAGTTTCAACCAATTTGCCTGGTACTGAAGTTAGGCTTTACTGGCCTGTAATTGCCAAGATCACCATTGGAACCTTTTTAAAAAATTGATATTACATTGGTTATCTGCTACTCATCTGATAGAGAGGCTGATTTGAGTGATAAGACCAACGTAAAGAATTAATTTAGCTTCTCCGCAATGGCCATGTCTTGAGTGCTCTTTTAGCACCTCAATCATGTAGCGGCCCCACTGCTTGTTTGGCAGGCTTCCTGCTTCTGATGTACTTAAAAAAAAATTGCTGTTTAGTTTTTGCCTTTTGTTGGTTGCTCTTCAAATTCTTTTTGACCTGCCTAATTATACTATTACTTGACTTGCCAGAGGTTATGTTCCTTTCTATTTTCCTCAGTAGGTTTTGACTTCCACTTTTTAAAAGATGTCTTTTGGTCACTAACTGCTTCTTTTACTCGATTGTCTAGCCATGGTGGCATTTTTTGGCCCTATTACTGTTTGTTTATTTGGGATGTATATTTAGTTTGAGCCTCTTGTGATGTTCTTCAAAAGCTTCCATGCAGCTTGCAGGCATTTCACACTTGTGACTGTTCCTTTTAATTTCCATTTAACCAGCCTTCTCATTTTCATTTAGTTCATTTTTTGGAAGTAAAATGCTACTGTGGTGGGCTTCTTTGGAATTTTCCCCCCCTACAGGGATGTTAAATTTAATTACATTATGATCGATATTACCAAGTGTTTCAGCTATATATCTTGAACCAGATGCTGTGCATCCCATAAGACTAAATCATGAATTGCCTCTCCATTAGTGGGTTCCAGGTCTAGCTGCCCAAGAAGCAGTCATTAATGGATTTCTGCATCCCATCCTGAGGTGACATGTTCCCAATCATTGGGGCATAGTTGAAGTCCCCCATTATTTTGGGGGTTTCTGTTTTTGTTGCCTCTCTAATCTCCCTGAGCATTTCAGTCACCATCACCAGCCTGGTCAGGTAGTTGGTATGATGCTGGCAGACCCATTGGCCTCAACTGAACACTAGCCAATACATATTTGGAAACCCAGTCTGGCTCACCTGTATGTTAGTATTGTTAAGCTTATAAGAATGTATTTAGATTTTATGAAATGCTTGTAAGACACTGCATGCACTAATCTCACTTATAACATCTGTACCCTATGTTATAAGGTGATATTAAGTGTTTGTATTGTAATCCTCTCTAATTGTTTCATATGAACTCATTCCACCACCATGAACTCTGGGAGGAAGGGGATGAAAACCCCTAACAAGAAGAAAGTATCTTTATGCTGCTTGGACTTTGAGAGGGCATGATTTCCAAGCATATATTATAATAGCTGTGTGGCTTAATCAGAGTGAAGGGACTAGGCAGGGGGTAAAAGACAAGATCAGAGAGACAGACCTAAACTGTACAGGGAATTGGAAGCAGAAGCAAAGAGCTTAAAGTTGGGGAAGAAGGTGAGAGGAAGCGAATGATGGCACTTGAAGAGGGTCTGAATATAAATAAGCCTGAATAGTGAGCAAAGGAGACCACCTTCTTGGCAGCAATTTGGTCAGATTGAAGGAGGGCTAAAGTGAGTGTCTGGGAGACAAAGAGTAGGTTGCAGTAATCATGTTGAGCAATAATTGGGGCCTAGACAAGGGTTTTGGTAGTAGGTATGAACTAATGAATTTGAAATAATATAAAAGAGAGAATCTTGTAGATTTCAAATTGCTATCAGGCACAAAGAACTGGACAACACAGGAAGTAAAAATAATTTAGCAGCAGTTTAAAAAAAAGGGGTGGGGGGGGGAGAGAACAATACATATCATTCATTACAATCTCTGTACAGAAAGAGCTACTGGAAAATGAAAAATTCCAACAAGAACTAGGCAGAGAAAACCCCTACTCTCCTTTCAGCTGAGGGAGTCTAAAAGGAAAGTCCCTGTCTGAAAATGAGTAAGCAAAGAGCTCAGCTGTCATAAAGGAAAGAGGAACAAAGCCAATGGGTACTTTGACTTCAGCACTGTTTATTTTCAAGTGATGTTAGCCAATAAAACTTCTTGTTGCTGTTTGGTTAGATTGTGAAAGTTTGTTGCTCATGTTAAGACACTTAAGACATTTGGGTCTCATTTCTCCACATCAGGAAACAGAGCAGCCCCAAAGCAGCATCAGAGATAGGACCTGCTAAGACAGCAGAAAAAGAACAGTTATCCTTTAGTGTTCTCCTGTCTGCCTTCAGACTGCAGTCCCTATGCTTACGAGTGCTATGCATTTACTGCTTTTATCTGCAATGAGCTTTTTCTTAAAAATTCCCATTGCTGTTGTAGCACCAGCACAACTCTACCAATGCTAGCACTAGCATAGACCAATTGCCACTATATTACCTCTGTGTTGTATATACTTGGTCTGGGCAGGCCTAGACCACACTGTGATAAAAACACCAACAGCCAGTTGATACTAATGCTCCTGCCATTGTTATCAAAGGTGAAGCTGCACAGGTGCTACAGTAACAGTGAGAGAATTCAAGGGGAAAAAGGTGCAAACAAGACTGCTGTCTCTCTAAGTAGGAACAAACTGGTTCTTGTAGCCATATCTTGTGTCCTGAGTGGTAGTGGAGTAGAACTCAGGAATAGAACTCAGCATGGACACAAAATTTGTATCTGCATCCAATCCACAAAAATGGTCTAAAAAAGAGCCACCGTGGCTTAACAACCATGTAAAAGAAGCAGTGAGAGATAAAAAGACTTCCTTTAAAAAGTGGAAGTCAAATCCTAGTGAGGTAAATAGAAAGGAGCATAAACACTGCCAAATTAAGTGCAAGAATGTAATAAGAAAAGCCAAAGAGGAGTTTGAAGAACGGCTAGCCAAAAACTCCAAAGATAATAACAAAATGTTTTTTAAGTACATCAGAAGCAGGAAGCCTGCTAAACAACCAGTGGGGCCCCTTGTTGATCGAGATACAAAAGGAGCGCTTAAAGATGATAAAGTCATTGCGGAGAAACTAAATGGATTCTTTGCTTCAGTCTTCACGGCTGAGGATGTTAGGGAGATTCCCAAACCTGAGCTGGCTTTTGTAGGTGACAAATCTGAGGAACTGTCACGGATTGAAGTGTCATGAGAGGAGGTTTTGGAGTTAATTGATAAACTTAATATTAACAAGTCACCGGGCCCAGATGGCATTCACCCAAGAGTTCTGAAAGAACTCAAATGTGAAGTTGCGGAACTGTTAACTAAGGTTTGTAACCTGTCCTTTAAATCAGCTTCTGTACCCAATGACTGGAAGTGAGCTAATGTAACGCCAATATTTAAAAAGGGCTCTAGAGGTGATCCCGGCAATTACAGACCGGTAAGTCTAACGTCTGTACCAGGCAAATTAGTTGAAACAATAGTTAAGAATAAAATTGTCCGACACATAGAAAAACAAACTGTTGAGCAATAGTCAACATGGTTTCTGTAAAGGGAAATCGTGTCTTACTAATCTGTTAGAATTCTTTGAAGGGGTCAACAAACATGTGGACAAGGGGGATCCAGTGGACATAGTGTACTTAGATTTCCAGAAAGCCTTTGACAAGGTCCCTCACCAAAGGCTCTTATGTAAATTAAGCTGCCATGGGATAAAAGGGAAGGTCCTTTCATGGATTGAGAACTGGTTAAAAGACAGGGAACAAAGGGTAGGAATTAATGGTAAATTCTCAGAATGGAGAGGGGTAACAAGTGGTGTTCCCCAAGGGTCAGTCCTTAGACCGATCCTATTCAATTTATTCATAAATGATCTGGAGAAAGTGCAATGAAAGCTTTAATAGCCGCATGCAGACCAGCACAGTAACTCCTATCAGTATGCTGGGGCACTGGTTCAACACTATCTTGATGACAAAAGTACAAGAGAAAGTTACAGTGGTCTGATATTCAGGATTTACTACATTCCAAGGAACCAGTGAGAGATTTAAAATCCAATTATTTGCTTAACTACAAAAGCAGGCAAAAAAAAAAATCCCATTTTCCAATAATACAGCACTAGTATTTTATGAAATAATACTAATTAAAACCAATTCTTTGATTACCACTTTACCATGTTCTCTGAATTTAGTGGCTGTCATAACTGTTAAAACTAAAACCTGTTTTCCATACCATCTTAACACAGCTGCGAATCTTAGCTTCTACATGAGAATGGAGTTATTTTTCAACTCTAGTAGTGCGTAAAATATCAGATGCTCGAACTATCCCATAACTGAAGTGGAGAAAGCACGGGGGCAACCAGAATGGCCTAATTTAAAACAGGATTGCCACCTAGTTTGTTTTAAAAGGTAAATGATTTTAAACTGTTATGCTTCTGAACAGTTCTGCAAAAACAAAGAATTAGTATATCCCGACTACCATGGTTCCCTCAACCAAAGGAAGTCTTAGAGGCTCTTTGAGTCCCATTCTGCAACTGTTTCCATGCACAAGATGGTCGCAAATGGCCTAAAAAATATTAAGGAAAATGGACTGTAGCACCTATGGAAAGAGTTGTCAGGAGACCAGAACTCAAAATATCTCAGTCTTTACCGAGAGTGGAAACCACAGGAGGAGAAAAAATAGCAAATATCTTTATTTAAGTTTAGTGGAACTATTCATTGGTATTTCAGAAGAAAACATTCAACAAAAATAGCAGTGGAAGAAGCCACCCCTCAGCTCGGAGATCAAGGCAGATGAGCATAAAGTGCATTCGATGGGAGGCAAACTTTCCCCGAGTATCAATCCTGGGCCTGTGACCAGCTCCTGAGCTGCCGCATGCCGAGGTGCGGTGTGTGTGAAGGAGCAGCACCTGCTGGAGATGGCTTGTTGGATTAGGCACATGGTGTTTGAGCAACGTGGGCCATCGGCTGAGGGGTTACGGCCGCCCCAGGGTGCTATTTGCAGAGCCCCTCTAGCCGCTCCAGCGTGCCCTTCATGTCACGGATGCGCCTGGCCAAGGCCGGCACGGGCTGCATGGCCAGGTCCAGCTCCTCGCACCGCGCCACCAGTGTGTACATGGCTCGGATGCTGGTGTCCACGGCCTCGCCCAGGCTCTCCACGCCGTCGCGGTAGGTCTGGATGCAGCCCACGCTCAGTGCGGTCAGGGCCTGCAGACCGCAGTGCACGCTGCGCAGCAGCTCATCCACCTGAGCGGCCACCTGCCCGGCCAGCGCCACCAGATCCCGCAGCGCCGCGGGGTCTACGGGGGGGATGGCGCTGGCGGCGGGCGCGCTGAGCTGGATCTTCCGCTGCAGGTTGCTGGCTACGAAGTGGGTGAGGAGGCCCTCGCGGCGCACGCTGCCCTCCAGCTCCAGCGCGCTGGCGATAGTGGCTCTACGACCCCCCGGCTGCCGCGCTCCCGCGCCGGTCGCTCGCCACTCCAGGCTCAGCGCCTCCAGGCTCCGCTCGGCCCCGAGCTGCTCCTGCTGTCCGGGCCCCTCTGCTTCCGCGACAGGAACGCGGCACCCCTCCGCCATAACCGCCACCGTCCCGCGTCCTCCTCCCCCCAGGCGCTCGTGCCCGCGCTCGCTAGGACCTGTAACGAGGAGGCGTGCGTTTCCTCAATGTTTATGCCTCTCTTGATTGGCTAGAGTGTAGGAAAGGGGCGGGATCCATTCTGTTTGTGTCCCATCCGATTGGCAGATGCTTTCCAAAAAAAAGACGTGACTCGTTCGGCTTATCGGTTTCCGGGTTGGCCTGTTTTGAGGGCAGGGGGCGTGCCGCGTTGTGTTTGTCTCTCTTCTGATTGGAGGCGACATGAAGAGGGCTCGTCCTGCTGTGTTTGTGTCTTTCTGGATTGGCGAGGGCGGTCCTATTACGGCTTCAGTCTCTTCGGATTGGTCATGGCCAGAAAGAGGCGTGTCACTCGCTGTGCCAGGCTGTGTTGATTGGTGCGGCGGCGGAAGTGGGCGTGTCCCTCTCGAGTAACAACACTGGGGCGCTGCTCGCCGTTCCTCTCACTCCCCCGCCATGTTCTCCTAGCAGCGGATCTGGGATTTCACCACCATCGAAGCCTACAAAGTCCCTGCGGACGCTGTGCGGCCACGTCCCCGAGCCCTCTCCTCTCCCCCTGCGCAGTTCCGAACACCCGACTCCCGCCATGGTCACCACCACGGCGCCGCCGCCCTTCCTAGCCCGGCTCTCGGCAGGCACCGAGGACGCCCGGCGGCTACCCCCCAGCCTCTTCCAACGCCTCATGCGGGGGGACAACAACTGCGAGAACCAGCCCAGCTGCTGCCTGGCGGGGCCCGGGGGTAGCGCGCGGCCGGCGCTGAAGCGAGTGAGGCGGAGAAAGGGAAAGATCCGGCCCAGCCCTTCGGGGCTGCTACCGAGCCGCTACCAGCAGTACCAACAACACCGCGCTGGCCTGGGCAGAAGGGCCCCGCTGGGAGCCCCCGGCCCGGGAGACGTTCACACTCTCCCAGTACCAGCTGTTCCCACCGCCCCGGCCGAGGAGCCCCCCACATCGGCTCCTCCGAGACCGGCGCCCAGCAAGCCCGTAAGGAAGGAGGTATGGGGAGGGTCCGGGCTGCGAGCCCCGGGGAGCGGTTCCCATTTTCCCCGTTTCGGGCGGCGGGGGGGGGGGGGGGGTTTCCGTTACGCTCGCGCGCTCTCGGGGCAGGGAAGAGGGGCCGCTCGCGCTGATTGGTTCTGGGAATCCACCAATGCGGTTGGCGGCTGCGCCCAGCAACAGCCGGATTTAGCCTGGTGGCCGCGCGCCCGGGGGTGACGTGTGCGGAGAGCAGCGCCCCATGGAGGCGCCCGGCTGCCACGGTCACTACAGCCGCGCCCCCGCCTGGATGGGGAGGGGGGCGCTCAGCGCCTGCGCTGGACGGGGTCCGGGCCGGAGCTTTCGAGTCCCCCCAGAAGCGCGCTGCGCTTCCGGGGACTCATTCACCCCGTCCGGCTCGTGGAGTGGGAGGGAGTGACAGACAGCGGTAGGGCGATAAAGGGACATCGCTTCTCCTGGCTGGGCGAGCGGAGGGACGTTCCCCTGCTTTCCAGCACCCGGCTGCTGCTCTTTAGCGGCAGAGTCCTGCATTATTTGAATGTCTGTCTCTGTCTCTGCAGTTCTTGAAGAACAAGATGGGCAAGCCTGAGAAGGCTCCCGCTCCCCACTGCCAGCCTGTTCACAGCGTACACCTGGGTGAACAGCCCAAGAGTAACAAGCAGAAGAGCAAATGTAACATGCCGCTCACAAAGATCGCATCTGTGGAAAAAAATGAAAGTAACTTTTGGCAACTTTCCGTGTCGCCTGAGATAATTGAAAAGCAAGAGAAAAAGCCGCTTAATAACACTGAGAACTTCAGAAACGTGAAATCAAAGAAACCCGGTTCTCCAACTGAAGTGAACCAAAAAGAAAGTTATGCTGGGGCAAAGTTTAGTGACCCGCCATCTCCTAGTGTCCTTCCAAAGCCTCCCAGTCACTGGGTGGGATGCACTGTTGAATATTCTGACCAAAATAAGGAGCTGATGGCAGTCCATTTAAAAACTCTCCTAAAAGTTCAAGCATAACTCAAGATTTATGGGTAGTTACAAAGAGGACTCCATCCATGAAATTGAAACTTGCCTTGTTGCAACATGAAGTATAAAAGGACTGTCAAGTCTTATAATCACAAACTTTTGTATTATATTTTTTATGGCTGTGTAAATAATGTACATCATGTAATATGTGTATATTCTTGTTCATACTTCGAGAGGTACATTTTAGTTTTGTTATGAAAGGATGTATTTTGCACTGCCCAAATGGTAGGTGTTTTGTATATAAAATATGGACAGCTTTAAATGTGTGCTTGACACTTGAAAAGACTTGACTAATTTGCACAAGGTAGTGAAATTTTGAAAGGAGAAAACAGCTCTTTAATCTCAAGGTTCAGATTCAACTGTGAACGGCTTAATGCACTACTGAAAAGTTTTGCAATATGTGGCACAATCCATTGTAAACATGGAGTTTTCATCCAGATGTGAATTGTTGCTCTCTGCTCTGGAAATAATATCTGGAATTCTTGTTCATCCCTTTGTTACCAAGCTAATTTTTGAATTTGAGTAAAGAATCTAACCCATCAATTTGAGCACTGCTTACTTCCTAAAAAGGAGGAGCAGAGCTTTTTTGCCATAAATACAATTGGTTACTAAAAAAAATAAAATAAAAATAATTTGGCCTCCCCTTAAGCATGTCTGTCTCTTGTGTGAATGTATTATATACCTAGAGGTTTTTTAGCTTTCATTAGTTTTGAAATAACATTTCAAGCTCTAACAGCCCTTGTGCCAGATACATGCCAAATGAAACCTTAGTCAATAGTCACAACAGCAATTAATTTGAAGTTTTGAAGGATGTGGTTTTAAAACTTCCTTCAGTTAAGTTTGAGAATTATAACTCTATTAATAGTGCAGCACTCAAATCAAGGCTGTTACCATCTACGTAGTAAGAACAGTCATTAAAATTAGCTCGAATTAAAGAGCACTGGTGTGAGGACAGTGTGTAAGAATGGTTTGTAGGTGACTGCTATCTCAAGCCAGGTAAGGAAGAGAATGGAATATCTGAAAGTGCTTTTAGGATGGAAAATTTAATTTGTCCCAGTTTGTAGGCACTTCTGAAAATTTTACCCACTGGTTATTTCTGTCATCTGGTGCCTTGAATATACTAAATCAGTTGGAGATGTAGGGGTCTGAAAAAGAAGCTACTGAAGGAAGTTGCAGTCTCAATGGAGTAAAGAAGTTTTATTCTTCACTGTAAGTTAAGGCTAACTGTTAAACATGCATATGGGCTGTCTGCACTTCAGCTTCTACTGCTGATAACACAAGATTCACTTCCAAAGTTACTGTGTTCTAAGACTTTGTTCAGAATAACAATACTAGTTAAAATGATTCTGAACTTCTGAAAAGTTTAGAACTAAATGGGGGAGAAAAGGAAATTCTACTATTTCATTTATGGAAATAAGCATTAAGATAAAAGTTCCTTTATACTAGTATACTTGCATTATATTTAGGAATCTGTTCTGAACTGATATATAGTAGAACTTCAATTTTTATCAATTTTACAAACCACCAGTTCTTTGAACCATTTTACACATTTTGGGGGGGGGGGGGGAGAATCACTAACAAAAGGGAATGATGAATAGGTCTACATCTCTTCAGATTCTGAAGTCTTCAGTATATTGGAAATTGGTTTGAAGGACAAGAAGAAAGTGATGTAGCATAGCATAGTGATGTTCCATTTATGTGCTGTACCTATTCCGTTAAGATGTAGAATGTTATGAACTCCATCCCCCAATTAGTTCATAAAAAGGGGTTCTACTATAATTAAATTCAGTAGACCCAGCCCTAGGACTTTGTCACTTTCAAAAATTGTCCTTCTGTCCTATAATTTTCACCTTACATTTATTCCTAAATGTAGTGCTTTAAATGTTGTTATAAAAACACATTTAAGTTAGTCCAATTTACTGTATAATCTAGATTGCTTTGTATATTTGACTTATTTGTCGTGCCATCAGTTTGTCATCTGCAAACTTTACCAGCTGTGATTGAGGCTAAGAAGATTTCTTTGGGACTTCACTAAAAATGTCCCTAGAGCCACTTCTTGAGATCAGCCACTTTTCAGCCCATTTAAGAGCTCAATGAAACACTTTAAAATCTGAATGTCATGGGGTACTAAACCAGCCACCTTAGAGAAATCAGTCAGTTACCTTTGTCAACAAAACTTTTAATCTCATTCAAAAGTGATATCAAGTTTGACAAGTCATTTTGCATAAACCCATGTTGATTGCCATTAATTATGCTGCCATCTGTTAATTCTTTACTAATTGCATTTTTTGTCAGCCTTTTCATGATGTTACATGACACCAATGTCAAGCTATCTGGCCTTTGTCCACCATTTACACCTTTTTGAATAGATATAACATTAGCTTTTCCCCCCTATCCTCTGGAACTATTGCACCCTCGGGTATGTTTAAAAAAAAGAAAAAAAACAGACATAGCTATGCTTGCAAAACCCCCAGCATAGAGAGAGCTATGCCTTTTCTGTCAGCATAGCTAATTTCCTTGGGGAGCTGGTGTTACTATGCTTCCAGAAAAAATCTGCATAAGCTGCACTACAGGAGGGAGCTCTGATGTTATAGTTACACAGGCAAAGCACTTGTAGTGTAGACAAGGCCTTAGAGATTAGTGAACAATATCAGGCCATTGAGAAGAGTTCATGATTCATATCTCCAGAGGCTTGTCGCAGGGCAAGTGTGCCCGATCCCTGGTGGGGTGGGGTAATTACTTCCCCGTGGTTGCATCCTTATGACCACCCCTTGTCTTGGGGTAGTGTGGCCTAGTGCTAAAAGTCAATATGACCGCTCTCAAGATTGTGTGGCCTAATGGCCAGAGTCAGGGTGACGGACCCTTCTCACAATGTGGCTCCCCCGTTCGACCGGGGTGGATCACCTAGTGGTCAGAGTCAGTGTGGCCACCTGGCTCAGCAAGGTGGTATGACCTAGCGGCAAGAGTCAGTAGGGCCACCCTCTCTCAGGGCTGCATGGCCAGTCAGTAAGGTTGCCCTCTCTCAAGGCTGCCCTACTGGCCAGAGTCAGTATAACTGCCCCTTCCGTGAGATCATGTGGCCTAGTGGCCTGAGTCAATAAAACTGCCCCTTCTGTGGGACTGTGTGGCCTGGTTGCCTGTCAGGGGAGTGGGCTACAACCCTGGTTTGGGTGGCAAGTGGGTCTGGGGACCCGTGTCCTCCCTGCTCCACCAGGTCCTAGCTCAGGGCCCTGTCAGTGGTAAGTATGCCCTGTCAGTGGCAAGTATACACTGCTCCTACCCTCATGGGCCTGTGGGCAGCACCTGGCCTACTACCTGTCTTGCTCCTCCCACTGCAACCTTCCCCTACTGCTCTGGCAAGAATGGGCTGCATGGGGTCCAAAGCACATTTCACAAACATGCCTAAATTTGCAGATGCTTCGAAAACAACCCCTTTCATTGAATGCCCAGCAAATGTCAATATATGCCTCAGACCTCTGTCGGGCCTGCTGTGGAAGGAACAGGCCACTGTCCGTGTGGCCTCCAGGTCCTTGAGGCATCATCCACTCCAACTACAGCATATGATGCAGTATGTCCCACCAGATCCCAGTTTGTGTTGCTGAAGGGGTTAAAGCAGCCCTGGAGAGGGCTGCAGCTGGGAAAAGGTAGGCTGATGGGGAAAGCAGCCACAGCTGTGGCCAGCTTAATCAGGGCCCAGCTGGCCCTTATAAGAGGGCTGTGGGCCAAAAGCTAACACACACACATTCTCTCTCTTGCTTCTTGAGAGAGAAGGACCTGGCTGCCTGGGAGCTGAGAAGGGTACCTGAGGTGGAGCACTTCTGGGGAAGGGCGGAGGAAGCTGGGGAGCTCTAGCCTAGTAAGACTCGAGACTGCAGGCCGTGCAAAAAGGCCAGAAAAGGTACTGGGGCTGCAGAGGGGTAGCCCAGAGATAGGCAAAGGCAGCAGGTCCTAATCCCCTTGCTGATGAGTGGTTTACAGACTGTAGTCAGCCCCAGGGAGGGGGGCTAGATGATGACTGGTAGTAGCCACTGAGGCAAGGGGGGTTTAGAGGGTTGGTGGTTCCCTTGGGAGGGGAGACCCAGAGTGAGGGCACCGGGGTCTGGGAGGGACATGGTACCAGCGGCAGGTGAGACACTGGCCTGCAGAGGGTACTGCAGGCTGGAAAGAGGTAATTTCTGAGATGGCCATCAGGAGGTGCCATGCAGGTGAGTCATCACCCAGCCACACGTCCTTAGTCTAAACCAGTTGTCAAGGCTCCTTCCCCACTCTGAACTTTAGGGTACAGATGTGGGGGCCTGCATGAAAACTTCTAAGCTTAACTACCAGCTTAGATCTGGTCCGCTGCCACCACTCCCAATGTGCTAATTCCCTTCTCTAGGTAGCCTTGAGAGACTCTTCACCAATTCCCTGGTGAATACAGATCCAAACCCCTTGGATCTTAAAACAAGGAAAAATCAATCAGGTTCTTAAAAAGAAGGCTTTTAATTAAAGAAAAAGGTAAAAATCATCTCTGTAAAATCAGGATGGAAAATAACTTTACAGGGTAATCAAACTTAAAGAGCCCAGAGGAACCCCCTCTAGCCTTACATTCAAAGTTACAGCAAACAGAGGTAAACACCCTAGTAAAAGGTACATTTACAAGTTGAGAAAACAAAGATAAAACTAACACGCCTTGCCTGGCTGTTTACTTACAAGTTTGAAATATGAGAGACTTGTTCAGAAAGATTTGGAGAGCATGGATTGATGTCTGGTCCCTTTCAGTCCCAAGAGCGAACTCCCACCAAAACAAAGAACACAAACAAAAGCCTTCCCCCCACCAAGATTTGAAAGTATCTTGTCCCCTTATTGGTCCTTTGGGTCAGGTGTCAGCCAGGTTACCTGAGCTTCTTAACCCTTTACAGGTAAAAGGATTTTGGAGTCTCT